ATTATTTTTTGACATACTTCTTACAATTAATATTTTCTAAATATAACATAAAATGTTCGATATCCAATGAAACAAATACTGAACAAAATATAAGTGATGCTTCATCAACTCATTCGAGATTGACTACTGAAAACACAAATATTATCAATATAAGTAAATCGTTAAATGTGATTAAAAATTCGTGTTAAAATTTCCTTAAAAACAGTAACTACTATGCAAAAACCAATATCATATCATCAAAACAATAATTTAATATCTAATCGTTCGAATACATCAAACACAAATTTACACTCAATTTCTGAAACTGAAACATCCGTTAATGTAACCCATTTAATAAATACTAATCATACATCTCTATCTAATATTGGCATACTTGATTATCTGACGACTCAGATTTAAAATTAGTACAACTCTAATTTTAATTTCATTTAAATATAGATAATTCAAACGAACAACTTCGATCTAATCCTTATAGTCTTACTAATAAAACTAGCAATCACAAAATTTATTTTCACAAAACATTTTAAATACTGGATCACATACCAACACAACTTTACATTCTAATGAGAAATTAACTAGTACTACAACGAATAGCTTACTGGATCAAAATAGTCATATCATATATCATAAAAAAATTCATAAGATAAGTCAAATTTTTTTAGGCAACCAAATTCAAGATGAAATAATCTTAGGTTCTATAAGTATAGTTTGCAATGCTATGCTGTTAAAAGATTATTTTTTTACTTTTCATTTACTAAACTGTTCTTACAGGGAGATTCCTATCCAATAACAATGTAACCAACTCAAAAGAGTTAAATAATTTTCCTTCAACAATTAACCATGATATTTCAATATCACCAATCACTAGTATTTTATCAACGACTCACATAACAACAGCACCAATCGATCAAGTCTCATCGAGTACACAAAATCACCAATCAGCTATAATACCAATACTAAACGAAGCTATTGCTTGCACAACAACAAAAACAACGAACTCTGTTTCTATAAAATCTAATATTTTAGACGACGATCCCATTTCTCATAACTCAAACGGTAAATCCTATTCTGAAAATAAAAAAAGCTTCTCAAACTCCAAAATAACTTAAATAGTACTTTTTTAATAAAACTGTACCTTGAGAAATATATAATTTTTCTTTCTTTCGAACAACGAAAAAAAATATTTGAGCTTTTTGAAACATTTGATTACATAAAAAAATTTAATAATATTCTCACAAAACTTTAGCTACCAATAATACTGAATCTACAACAATACTTTCTCAAAATCAAGATAATACAATGAATATGTTGATTGCGAAAAGCAAACGGATAACTTCTAATAAAAATAATAAATCTAAACGCCGTTTTGCAAAGAAGAAATAAACACAAACAATGCAATCAAATATTTAAGGCAGTACATGGACTCATTTAAAAAAAACGGATTGGTCTTCTTCATTGCATCAAATAAACTAGTATTATTTAATCATAAATAGAAAATGAATTTAAATAATAAAAGTAAATCCAAAATACCTGTATTTTTAAAAACAGCATTGAATAATAAAAACGTCAATATCTGAAACATTATATAATACTAATATATGAATCGAAATGTAACACTTGTATAGAACTATTCAACGCTATTCACATCAAAAATTGATTAAAATCTATTTCATCTCCATGATATAGACTAAGATGTAAACATAAAAACACAGACAGATGTACAGAAATTATAATTATCAAATTATACAGTGAACCTCAAACATTTCGATATCTGTAATCAGAAAAAAATAAAGGTAATCTACAAATTATAAATGTGATAACACAAGAAAAGTATGCGAAACAAAATAACAGATAATAATCAACCAATAGTTTTATGTCATCCTTCTTTAAGTGCTTAAAAAACACATCAAAATGACCTATATTCACAAAACAATATTTCAAACACACATTTTATATGTAAAACATACCTATTGCGATGATTATTAGAACAGAGAAGGAAAATATACCCATAAAGATTTTATTGAACGAAATTTTTCAAGAAAAGCTGAAGTAATTATTTTTTTTGTCTCCTCATATACCACTTTCTATAAAAAAATCACAAAAAGAACTTTGATTTAAAAACAAAATATAGAAAACATATGAAAAAAATTTCTAGTAGTAATTTAATGTCCCTATGTCCCAGTCACTTCAAGATATTAAAGAAAAAATATAGTAAGAAAATAAAA